GTGAGGCGGCTCTTGGTGAGGCCTTGGTTGGCTCCTTGATGGGGGAGAGGACAAAGAGCGAGGGCCGCAGCTGGTAGGGCGGCTGCTTGGTGGGCTCTGGGCGCAGGACCCCATTCTCAGGCAGGTAGCCATGGTAGAGGGAGGCAGGTGGGGTCCGAGCTGGGCTTCGGGATGCCACTCGGAGGCTGCCAGAGGAGTACTTCCAGGACGAAGGCAGGGACATAGTGGGTGAAGGGCAGCGGGCCAGCTCGGCGTGGCCCGAAGACTCTATGACATACTTCTCCATGCGGGACTGGCGGCGGGCATAGAGCTCAGCCCCTTTCCCGGAGGCCTCTGACAGGTTCTGGTTGGGTTTGGGCTTCGGTTTGGCCTGTATGCGCGGGGACTTGAGGCAGGAGGCCCACTCGGGGACAGCATTCTCGGCTGCAGTGGGGCTGTCCCTGTCCCTGGGTGCTGGCTCCTGCTGGAAGTTGGAGGCCTCAGCCCCCAGCGCGAAGGGCTCCTCCTCCCCTCCAGCCTCCCCCTGGTCCCTCTGCCTCCGCTTCTCATCAGCTGTCTGTACCAGATCCAGCAGGTCTGGATTTGGCGTCACCTTGGGCTTCTCCACGAAGGTGAACATGGATTTCCGGCTGCCCCTTCGGGCCATAGACTCCTCCAAAATTCCTGTCTTGCCGGCGGGAACCGCCTGGCCCTTCAGATGGGAAGGCTTGGAGTCAGAGCTGGGGTACAAGGCAGAGTAAGAGGGGGGAGACCTAACCCGGGACGCCTGGGGAGCCGTGGACAAGGTCTCAGCATAAGTGGGGGGTGGGGCGAAGTTCCCCAAGGGGCGTCTCTCCAAGGCGGGGCTGCGCTGTGCCATGGGCCTCCTCTCCACTATGGGGCTGTGAGACAGAACGTGTCTCTGTGGCCGAGGGCTCCTGTCGGCCATGCTGGGGGGCTGGGAAGCCGGGGCCTTCCCCCCGAGATGTCTTCTCTCCACCATGGGGCTCCGCTCCATCGGGCCAGTGCTCCCTGGTGCCTGGATCCCAAAGGGCCTGGCCGTCCTGTTGACCACGGATTGGGGCTTGGCCAGCGTGAGGTGGACCTCGCTGTACAGCTTGGTGGGCGTGGTGGGCGTGGTGGCCACTGCCCGCCCAGATGTCTCTTGTTCTGCTGACACCGCTGGGGCGCTGGGCTGGACATCGACGAGCAGGGAGCTGGACATGAAGTCTGGGGCTGGGGACCCGGAGCTGGGAGCCACTTCTCTGGGGAAGGTGCAGCTGGTGGTCGATGGAGCTGACACCTTGTCAGTTAGGAGTGTGCTGGGTCTCACCTGCTCCTGGGGTTGCCCGCCAGCACACTGGGTGCTGGGTGTAGCATCTGGCACTGTGCCGGGCGGTGGGAGCTGAGCCTCCGAGGAGTTCTGCTGGAGGCTAGAGCACGGCAGGCTCTGAGGGGTGACCGCCGCCGCCGGGTTCTGATTGACATCTGTGGCTGGCAGGTGGTGGCTGCCGTTAGCAGCTGGTGTGCTGAGTGCGGCACTGGGGGAGGCAAGGTTTTGGTTGACATCTGGAGCTGGACTGTGGACCTCAGCTGGAGGCGGGGTGGGTGGACTCTTCTGGGTCTCTCGGTTCTGGGACAGGTGGAGTCCATTGGCCGTCAGCAAGGCTGCATTCTCCTTTAAATAAACCACCAGGGGCACCTCTTCCTCCTCACTGGCCACCTTCTCCAGGTGCCGCAGCAAGCTGGCTTCCTCTGAGCACCCCTCCATGCTGTGACCAGGGACCCCTAGGTCAGGGCTCTGGCCGTCGGGGCTCCTCAGAGGGCCTGGCTCGTGAAGTGAGGCAGGACTCAGGCTGAGCCCTGGGGCATGGCCTGTGGGGCTGCCGGGGGGCCCTCTTGGGGACTCCTGGCTGGGCTTCTGTCCCCTCCGGCCGTGGCTCTCCAAGGTGAACTCGTTCACCCTCTGCCGGCGCCTGTTGAAGAGCTGGACGCCTCGGGAGTTGGAGCTGGGAGGGGTGGTCAGCTGGGCTGCGATCTGCTGGCTCCGCGCCTTGGCCTCTTTCAGATCCTTCTCGGTGAGGCTCGTGCTCCGGCCCAATGCTGCAGGGAGGGACAGAGGCCGGGTTAGCAAACGGGGATGCAGAGCCACAGGGGTACACCGACAGACAGACAGACCAACAGACAATCACCCGTGACCCTCCTACAGGTGACCTTTTCCTCCAGCATCTTGATCTCTACTCCCTGTTTTCTGGAATGCCGTCTGCTCATAAAGAATCCTGACCCAGCCATTTTTGGCTCAACTCCAATGCACCAGCTGTGTAAACCTGCCCAGATGACCATTTCAGCGTTAGCCAGCCCCTCATTGGAGCCCACAGGTTGCTGATACAGCACTCAACCGAACTCAGGAAGAACACCTCACGCTAGCAGTCCTGGCCCCGCTATATCCTGACTTGTTTCCCTTCTCCTCTCTCACTAGGCTCTGCCTTGCTGGCTTTCTTTCTATTTCTTGAAAATGCCGTTTGTTCCTGCCCCAGGGCCTTTGCACTTGCTGTTCCCTCTGCTTGGAATGATCTCCCAGGCGGCATTCCAGGTCAGCTCCTTCTTGCTATTCAGGACTTGAGTGTCACCTCTCTGGAGGGGCCTTTCTCTGTAATCAGCCCTCTCCTTTTCTATCCCATCTCTTTGTTGATTTTCTTCATGACATTCACCATAATTCACAATTATCTTCTTTATCTGTTTCCTTGTTTATTATCTGTCCCCCCCCCCATAAACTCTTAGGGGACAGTGACCTTGCTTGGCTTGTTCAGCCCTCTAAGCCTGGCCCCTAGCACAGAGCCTGGGCGCTCAGCAAGCAGGACTGAATGCACAAATGAGCCCAGGACACTCGCCATGTGCTTTTCCTAGGGCCCTTCACACTTTCAAGCCCATAGTATAGTCATTAGCACGAACACTAACACTTCTCAGAACAGGCAATACATTCACATGATCTAAAAAAATTAAAAACATAAAGTACACAGTGTTCAAAGACAAAAAGAAAGTATAAGTGAAAAGTGTCCCTCCACCCCGAGTGCCCTCATCACAATCAGGTAACAACTGTCATTAGTTTCTTCTATGTCCTTGCACAGTTTCTTCCCATTTTTATTTAAATAATTATTTAAAAATTCTCATATTTTAATATAAGAGTAATAAATTGGGCTAATTTCAGCTAGAACATTGCATTGCTTCATGTTATCCTCACAAGAACACCAGGCGACAAGCATTCCTGGCTCCTGTTCTACAGAGGCGGAAAGTGAGGTCTGGAGACGTGTAAATAACTCACCCAAAGTCACAGCAAAGGGTGGCGGAGCTGGAGGCAGAACCAGGTCCCTTTGGGTCCACAGCCCATGCTTGTTTCAAAAGGTCCCTTTGGGACGGAGGGGGAACACGGTCAGCAGGGCTCGGGGTTCAGTCTGGAGCTGCAGTCCAGGCCTGAGGTCAGGGATCAGGCTGCAGTCAGACTCCTATTAATCCAAGTTCATGGCAGCAACCGTTTCTGTGTATATCCCCAGTGCCCACCTGGCACACAGTCGGTGCTCACTTTATGCTATTGAGCAATGACTAAACAAATGGGTGCACGAACAAATGGACCGATGGACAGGTGGATGGGACAGGCTGTGGGCAGGATTAGCAGCTCACTCAGTGGCTGAGAAAATTCCTCCCCCACCCCACCCCACCCCCGCTGTGGGAAGCTAATTAGTTCTTGAGGAATCTGACCTTGCCTTTCCTCTCCCTTGCCCTCATTAGTACTGGCCATGACGTGCTGAGTGAGTGGCCAGGGACAGTGTTTCTAGGTATCCTGCCAGCAGAGCTCAGAATTCAGGGACTCTCAGAGCTAGAAGGGCCCTTACAGAGGCGCAGTTTCACCACCACCCCCATTTTATAGACGAGGAAACAGGTCCAGAGAGGGGTGCAGGGAGAGCTCCCAGCAGGGAGGCCACACAGAGCAGCGTGGCTGCAGACAGCGGTTTCACTGGGACCAGGCCCAGCAGCCACAGGCTGGCCCCAACCTCCTTTCCTCTTCCCATCAGGATCTGGCTACCCCCGTCCCCCTCCACACACACACACACACACACACACACACCTGTGCCCACCTGGGGGAGATGAGGAGGCCCTGAGAGGTTGCTCAGCTCATGCAGTGCCCATCTCCTCTGCTCTGCTTAGAAACCAGGCCTCATGCCCAAATCCAGGCTCTGCCACTTGCTGGCAAGTTACTGCACCTCTCAGAGCCATTCCTTAACTGAGAAGGGGATGAAAGCACTGACGTTAGGGTCAGGAGGCTGCAATGCGGTCATGAATGCCTGGGGAGAGGGCTCATGCTACCCTGGATGGAGTGGAATTGGGGACCCACTCTTCTCCTGGGAGGGGTCAGAGGTTCTTCGAGCAAAGGAAAGTCACTCCACAGATCAGGGGCCTGAGAGAGGAGGCGACCTACAGCCACACAGCAGGGGATTCCAGCATTCTCGGGGCAGGGGGCCGGGATTATTGCCCCCAATTACAGAACCGCAGAGTCTCCGAGATGGCTGTCACCGGGTCCAATGCCTGCATCCCTAGAACCATGCCACTGAGGGTACACACCTCTCTTTACACACTCGATCGACATGGAGCTCACTACCTGCACAGGTGCCTTCCACTAACGGACACTCCTCAGCTGGAAAGCTGCTCCTCACATTAACTTCTGCCCCCGAACACCCCCAGAGAAAACGCCTCCTCCTCCCAAACTGAGAGCCCTGCAGGGATTCACAGACAGCACATCCCACACGGCATGGTCAGGACAAACGTGCCCAGTCCCCTCACACTTCTCAGGATACAGTTGCAACAATCGTAGCTGACACTGGGCTCTTACTGTGGACCCACACACGTGCTCTCCACGTACTGACTTATTTCATTCCCATGGCAACCCTATGAAGCACAAACTATTGTTACCCACTTTTCAGTGATGAGAAAACCAAGGCTCAGAGAGGTAAAGTGAGCTGCCCGAGGTCACAGAGCTGGAAAGGAGTGGAGCTGGCTCACCCCTGGCTCTGCGTGACTCCCGAGAGCACCAACCTTCCTGGCTGGCAGGTTCCCTCAGTGCAAGGCTCCTAGAAAGCGTTTCAATTTGCATAACCAGGGCTCCAACCGACCCTGCACTCCCCCCCACCCTCCCACTTCTCTGCTTCAGTCCTGTCCCCAGGCTGTTCTAAAGGCCATGGATTTAGAAAGTTCTCAAATGGTGAGCATGAAGGCCCTCAGTGGGATAAGCTGGCCTGGGCGGCTTAGAGAGGGAAGGGCTGCAGAGAAGGCGGTGGGCCAGGACCTGGTGGGCTGACCCCCAGCGAGACTAAGAGCCTCCCCGACTGCTGTTTGGGGACAAGAGGAACATGGCAGACAAGGCCAGGGGGCGAGAAAGCCCAGCCTCTGATGAAGCTCCCGTGCCCTCCACCCCAGTCCACAGTGACTCCATGGAAAAGGAATTTAGCAGAAGGCTTGAACCAGACCCAGCTAGCAATCCACCCTGCCACCCTGCATAAACAAAGCTGAAAGACGGGGCCAGGCCAGCTCCCAGCACCAGAGTCCCCACGGCAGGGCACCAGGGAGGCAGTTTCATCCAAAATTCCTCAGACCAGGGAACCCACCCCTGGCAGTGCCCAGCCACTGGGTCTGAGACTGGGCTCCCTGGTGTCAGAAAGGCAGGAACAGGCACCTCACTGAGCCCCCGATCTGCCTGGTACAGCCTGCACCTGTGCAAGTCACAACAGCGCCTCCCCGCCCCCTTCTCTGTGCCTCTGCACGGCCAGGTTGGGTGCTGGCCCCTGAAAGACCCACCCTGGACAATGGATCAGGAGCTCTGAAGACAGGCCTGAGGAGAGGACGGGGTGAGGGCAGGTGCAAGGAAGGGCTGCTGGAGGGAGGCAGGGGGCAGAGGGCCAGGGTCCACCAGGGTTCAAACCCCAAGCTGGGGAGGCGGACAGGAAGCCCTGAGCACACATTAGAATGAGGATGCAATGGGGCTGTAATTACTGAGCCCTCACTGCAGGTCAGGTGCTGTGCCAGGCCCTTTATACTCATCGTCTTTTCAATCTTTCCGACAATCCCCAGAGAGAAGACTGTTATTCTTCCCAGTTTGCAGATGAAATCAGAGGTCAGAGAGACCTGCCCAGGGTCATACAACTTGTAAGTAGAGCTGGGATTCAGAACTCACAGTCTGGCTATTGAGTCTCATTTCTTAACCATGCTGCCTTCCAGACCCTGACTCTGGGCGGGGGTGGAGGGCGGGGAGCGGGTAGAGGCTAGAGGCTCCAGTCAGTCAAACCCTCTGTTTCCTCATCTCACGATCAGTGCCCCGCAGTGCCCTCTCCCCCGCATGGTCAGCTGCCAGGAACAACTCAGGGTTTCTCCCCTTCCTCCTCTTGGGAGAAGAGTTCTCACTAAGGCAGAAATGATTGCTGGGACATGAGAGGCTCGTTTGGGAAGAACGTGTGTTGGGTCAGGGTCCTGAGTTCTAGCTACCTACAGGCAGGGTGATGCCCTTCCTCCCCCGAGCAGCTCTGCAGGCAGCAGCCTGCTCTGCCCACCGGCAGGCCTGACTGGACGAAGGAGGGAGGTGGGGCAGGGGAAGGGAGGCCAGATCAGAAGGTCAGGACAGCGAGAGAATTCAAGGAAATGTTCTTCATACGGCTGGGCTGCCGTCAATGGGAGTATCCACCCCACAGCGAGAGAATTCAAGGAAATGTTCTTCATACGGCTGCCGTCAATGGGAGTATCCACCCCGCTGGGGCGGAGTGGGACAGGGGGCAAGAGGTAGGAACAGAGACCGGCTAAAGGCAGCCCACTCTGGCTGCCGGGGAGGCTTGGCAACAGGACAGGTAAACAGGCTGGGTAAACTGCCCCCCTGGTGGAGTCAGGAAGGAGCCAATGGCTGGCCGCCGCACAACCTCTGGCTCAGCTGGGGGCAGGAAGATGAACTGGGCTGAGTAATGGTCTGGCTACCTTGCCAGCCCCTGCCCCATATCCTCCCCGCTGGAAAGAGGAAATGACACAGCCGTCATTCTCTGGAGAGTTCTCCATCCATGCCAAAGTCCTGGTGAGTGCAACCTGACAGTCCCGGCAGACGGCCAGCCCTCGCAGGAGGAGAATAATTCATACTACGGTGGGAAGGACTGCCAGGACAGAAGAGATGCCTAGGAACAAGAGTGGGGAGCCTCAGACCTAGCTCCAGCCTGGCCACTGAAAGAAGTCACCATCTGCCTCTCCCTGGAGGCCCAGAGGGGAACTGAGACCAGAGAGGGATGCCACATGCCCTAAGCTGCACACCCCAAACCACGAAGGCACCTCTGAGTGCTCATCTTACTCACTGTGGCCGGGTCTTCACTGCTGCCCAGTTCCCCTTCCGTGCTGAGCCGGCCTTGGTTCTCAAAGCCTCTGGGAAAGGCAGCCAATCGCCTCGCTGACAGAGAGGCAAATCCCACCTCGCCAGCAACGCGGAGGAGCTGGATGTGACTTCTCTCCTCCACAGATGACTCAGCCCAGCTCTTTATCAGGAAAACTGATTTTGCAACAGCCTTTTAAATGGCCTCTCCACCCCCAATCTCTTCCCCCGTCAATCTACCCACTCCACTCCATGCGGCCAGATTCATCGTCCTCCCGCCGGGCTCCCCTCATGTCTTTCTCCTGCCTCCCCAGGACGTGGGGGATCGAGTAGCAAGCCCTCACGGTGGCATTCAGAGCCCCTGACGTCAGAACTGCCTGAGAGCTTGTAGCTCGCTCTCGGTGCACTCGCAATGGCCAGAGCGGTCCAACGGCTTGTGGCTCCCACACCTGCACTGGGAGTTCCTGCCTCTGCTGTGGGGTTTGCACAGACACCTCCCCGGGGAGCCCTCCTCTGTCTCACATCCTCGCTATATCCCCAGCCTTCCCACCGATCTCCAATGCCACCAGCCCTCCCGAAACCCTCCCCGGACCTCCCAATGCTTTATCTGCAGCACTCGATTACCTCATCACTTTGCACGTTACTCATTTTACTGAAAGTTGCTCCTCAGGGTGTGCTCACCACATGCCAGGCCCTTGCTTCATTTCCAGCTACCCATGGAGTCCCAGTACCCATCCCTGTGCAAGAGGAGAAACGGCTCAGAGGGGTGAGTGGCTTGCTCCAGCTGGCACAGCTAGTCAGAGGCAGAGTTGGGATTCAAACCCAGGCTGGCCCAAGGTCAAGTCCAGGGCCCATCCTGCGGGCCAGGCTGCTTCCTTCCAGTGTCTGGCTTTGCAGCGATCTGGGCCTGAGTCTAATTTTGCCCCACAGACTGCAGGAGCTGAGGGCAGGGGCCCCCACTGCGTCACAGCTGTTCCTCCCTTGCCCCCCACCTTCCGTGGTGCTCACAGAGTAAGGATGGCAGTGATGAGGATGACGACAGCCAACCCGTGAGGAGCACCAGCTGCTGCCAAGCTAAGGGTTTAGCATGTATGTTCTCATCGAATCCTCACAGCAGGTCATAAGGGAAGCTCCCTCACTCCATTGGACAGAGGAGGAAAACGGGGTCCGGAGAAATAGCGAACTCACCCAGGTCCTGCAGCCAGCGAGGGGCAGGCAGAGGGGAGCCAGAGCTGGGATCTGACTGATCCCGAGCCTGGACACCTCCTCCTGAAGAGCTCTGCCCACAAAGCACACTCACTTTCCTCACCCACTGTCCCAGGTCCAGCTCAATGCCACTTCCTCCAGGAAGCCCTTGTCAATCCATTCAGATTCCTAGATCAGTGCTCTTCTGCTCAACCTGGCCTACGGGCCTCAGAGCAGGAAGACTGAATGGCAGAAACAACAGGCTGAGAAAGCTCAAAACCAAGGCTGAGGGGAAGGAGGCTGTGGCCCAGCTCCCAATATCTCTCTGCTGACAGTGAGTTGGGATCGGGCAGAGCAGGATGGGTGGTTTGAGGGGGAACTTAAGACAAGGGCTCCCAAGTTGGCTGCGGCCTTGGCTGGCAGCTATCCCCATGGGCCACACGCACTGTTCCCCGCTGGCTGACCAGGACCCTGCTGTGGGGTCCACCTCTGCCAGGGGCCGGGAGCCACCATCGCCCTCCTGCCTGCCCTACTGGCCTAAACATTAATCTACAATTAGATTTTCAGGGACTTGGAAATGGTGCCGCAGAGAGAGGCAGGCTCAGCCCCAGGTGTACAGCAAACTGGAAAGGGCTGGTTCACCCAGAGCCCAACCCAGGCCCCCGCCTCCCAGTCCAGCCCTGCTGAGCCTGCCCAGGCCTCCCTCACAGAGGAAACACTTAATCCAGGAGACAAAAGAGGTGGTGAGCTGGCGAGGGGTGGCGGTGGGGGAAATGACAGTTTCCCTTAAATTCTGCCTCTGCCAGTGGCAGAGCTGGGCCTAGGCCATTTCTGGGTCCACGGCCCCCAGCTCAGGGCCTGGCACACTCTGGGCTCTCTACAGCTCCTCTTCCAGGCCCTGGGGCAGCCTGGGCGGCAGCTGGTCTCCATCTTCTCTAAATGCCCCACACTCAGCAGAGGCTGCCCCCCAGCAAGGGTTTAATAGCCAAGTGTTGACTAGATAAATGACTGGAGGACGAGCACTCCCACAGCCCAAATCCACTCATCCAGGGAGATGAATTCTAGATTCATCTGGATCCCAGATTGTCTAGAGTCCACATCAGAGATCTAGAGGGTGGTTCTTGGGGAAAGCGGAGGGGCTGGGGGAGTAACAAGTCTGTGGGTGAAGAGGGAGATGAGACCTTAAACCACAGTGTGAGACCTAAGAGGCAGAATATTCCACCAAGTGCTGGGAGAATCTAGAGCCTCAGAGTGAGATGAGTTAGGATGAAGCAACCTGGGAAGTCTTCCTGGAGGAGGTGGCATATGCCCTAAGTTTTGAAAGATGGAGATGTAGAAGCATTCCAAGTAATGGGGCAGCCTAGCAGAGGCTGGAAGGCTCAGGCAATCTCCACCCCCCACCCACACCCCAAATCAAGACCAGGTGCACAGAAAGGCAGCTTGCAGAGGAACACACCATGGGCTTTCCCAGAGGCTGAGGGTGAATGGGTTGGTCCACGCAGAGTTCCATGGGAGCTCTGACATTAGGGCTCATCGTGCCCAGAGGCCAGAAGCACTGTGCTGGCTGCCTCAAGACTCTGGGTGGGTTGCATAACCTCCCCACTGCCCGGAGCCACTGATTCAGCTGGGACCCTCGCCGCCTCCGCTTCCACCTCCTCGGCCTTAGCCATCTGTCTCGGCTGCTTCCCTCTTATGGAAGAGCTGCCCAGCAGCCAAAAGCGGAGGCCAGCGCCCTGTGGTAAATTCCCCACATTCCTTCCTCGCAGGAAAATAAATAACCCGGAGAAAAAACGCAGGAGGAATGGCAATGACGTCCCAGCCCCAGGCTCACTGGCTGGCTGGAGTCGCAGTGCCCAGCGCGCAGAGCCCGGCGCAGGGTAAACAGTGGAGGGAACCCGTCCTGGGCTGAGGCTGTGTCTCTGCTGCTTCTGCGCAGGAGGTGTCCTCACCAGCGGGGGCCCCCCCAGCCCCTGGAGGCTCCTCCAGGCTGTGCTCACTCTCTTGGGGTCTCAGCTTACTGGCACCTGCCAAAGAAGGCTCGGGAATCCGCCCTCCGCCATGGCAGGTGGCCTTGGGAGGCACACTTATCAGGCACCAGGCAAACTTCACTTCTATTACTCAAGATGCTGCTATGTTCAGGCATTTCGTTTCAGCACTGTCATTATTGTAGTATGTTGTTTTGTCTCACAATTTGTGAACTGGGGGTACTGTTATACTCGCTGCACATGTGAGAAAACTAGGGCTCAGATTTTGGGATTCACCAAGGCTATCTGCCCAGTGAGTGGTTTGCAGTTTCCACCCCATTCCTCCCTTCCATGTTCATGCAGCTGGCCTGCCCTCCCCAGACAGTCCTCGTTTACCAAATCCAACCCGAGGTGCAGCCTGTTCCCAAGGCATGCTGGGCAACCTTTAGTAAATCACTTCCCCTCTCTGAGTCCCAGCCTCCTCATCAGTAACGCAGGGACGCCGGTCTCTGCTCGGCAGAGCCACTGCTGAGCAAATTAAATGAAGAAATAATTTCTACAGTGAATAGCACTGTGCACACCTGAGAGGGATGTAACTTCAGCCTTTTGCACAAACCCACCCCTGTATAACTCTGTACCAGGGTAGGGCTCTGTCTGTCTCCCTCCAGCCCTCTCTGGGTCTGGTCTCTCTTTCCTGCTCAGCCCAGTCAGGCACAGCACAACTACCCTCACCCTCATCCCTTCACCCCCAGAATCCTCTCTGCAAGGGGACCCCAGCATCACTGTCTACCCAATACGTGTAGCAGAGAGGACAGGGTTTGAACGCTAGGTCTGCCTCTCGCTAGATGTGAGGGCCGAGGCCTCCTTGGAGCCATCCCAGGTCCAAGACTCCTGGGAGGGAAGGTGCGGCCAAGGTCGGCTCTCATCACTGGGTACGCAGCCCTGCAGCCAGGAGGGCGCTGAGGCCCTGGGCGTGCCAGAGGCTGCTGACCCTGCCATGCCCCCCATGCCATTTACTGATTACCAGGCATGTCTGGCTCCCCTCCAGCAGGAGAAGTCTGTGCCAGAGGAGAGGCTGACTCATCCAGCCCCACCGTCCCCTCCCTCGTCCCTCAACTGCAAAAGGAAAGCACACTGGAGGTCAGGAGATTTGGCTCCAGTGTGTGTCCTGTCACAGCCTGGGTGCGACCCTGGACTGATTCCTGAGCCTTTGGGCTTCGTTTGTTCGAGTGTTCTAAGGAGGGACTGGCCTGGACCAGTGATTCCTAGAGTGGGGTGCCCCCACACCTCCAGTGGAAGCAAAGGGATTGAGGTGGTACCTCGATCATGAAAACCTTACTAGTTATGTAAATTTCACATGTGTATTGGGAAAGGAGCATAATGAACACAGCGATCCTGTGAAAGGTAGATTACTGCTTAGGGAGAGGTAAACATGGATATTTCAGTAACAAAAGTTAGACAAATTAAAGACAATTAGTAAGTTAGGTGGTGCACGGACTCATTCACTCGACCACTATTTATTGCACACCAGCTGGGCACTGTTCACAGCCATGAGGAGAGACAGACAATCCCTGCTTGCATTCTACGAGGGGAGCAAGATAAATATATGAGTAACTAGACACGTAAGTCAGGTGGTAGATGCTATAGAGAAAAATGAAGCAGGGACCGGAGATAAATGGAGGAGTCGTGTGCAACACATCACTGAGAAGTCACATCTGAGGAAAGAAGTGAAGAAGGTGAGAGTGAACGAAGCATATGCACGTCTAGGGAAGGAGACCCGGCAGAGGGAACAGGTGGTGCTAAGGTCCTGGGGCAGGCTCACACCTGGCAGGTTTGAGGATGGTGCACGGAATGTGGAGGTGGGACACGAGTGAGGAAAACAGGTTCTCTAATGGCCCTTCTGCCTCTGCCCTTTGGGATCTCAGGGATCCCCTGCATTGCTGCCATTTGTACACACACACACACACACACACCCTGCAGCACACATGCATTCTCAATGCTGGCGTGAGCTAGCCAGCAGCAGCACATGCTCCCCTGCACACGCCCGCGCATGGAGGTGCTGCTTGCTTCACCCCTGCACTACACGAAGCAGAGTATGCGCGCGCGCGCATACACACACACACACACACACACAGCATAACCCACACATGATGTGTGCACACTGAGCACCCAGAGGTGTGCACGTGGGGACACACAGGTGCTCAGGTGGCAGACTGGCATGGATGCACATGCAGCAGGTGCACACCTTGTAGGAGGGCACAGGTGTCCCCCCTCCTGCCAGATGCCCTGTCTCCAGGTAAATGAGTTACCGGACAACCCCTGCCTGGAGGGCACACGCTACTGGAGATGGTGAGTGCTCCATGGGTAGTTTCAAATTCGATTCTCCAGCATGTCTGCACCTCAGCCATGGTTTCCCTTTTCCAGGGGTGCACTAAAATCTGCCACCTCATGCTCAAACGTCCCTGTTGCTGTGGAGAATGCCCCCTTTTCTAACACTACTGCAATCAAACGGATAAGCCATGTAACAAGCCTAGCACTGCACTGTAAATGTTACCAGCTGCTCCCAGCATCATTGCTCATTGCACTCATCCCTGGCTTCCTCCCTTTAGGATGCTTGGGCAGCTGAAGAGGAGGAGGAAAGGGCCGGACTGGGAGCTGCAGGCCTGGATTTAAGTCTCCAACTCATTGTGAGGCCTCAGGCAAGTGCCGTTCCCGATCCAGCCCAAATCAGGAACCCGCAGAATCCATCAGGGAGTGTGCCCCAAATGCAGTTTCCTCGGCTCCGCCCCAGACCCAGCACCACAGAACACGCATGTGAGCAGCCTCCCTGAGGGGTTCTGACGTAGTCAGGTTGGGGACCAATGGGCTTTAGAGCCCACGATTTTATAAATGTGCTTGTAACAACACACAGGAAAATGCATAATGTTAACAAAAAATGCACTTGAGAAAATAGATTTTGTACATAACTATATCCACTAATTATATACTAGCCCTTCAACACGCACGACATTTTTATAGTTTTATAGCCCTGACACATCCGTCAGAGACGGAAGCAGAGCAGGAACTGTGACAGTACTTTACAGACCAGAAAAGTGACGCAGAGCAGACCAAGGGCGCCTTGCAGAACGCAGGTCTCTGGCTCGGCCACATGAGGTGTGCCCCCTCCGGCCTTATCACCTCATCCGGTGTGGTTCTGACTTCCTGCCCTGAGTGTACCTGTCCTTTCACTCCAGGCTTACAACAACTCTGCACACACGTGACTTCAACGACTCAAGGTTCTCGGAGAATGGGGCCACCTCACCCAGCTAACGTCCTTCCAGTCCGAAGGCCTCCTCAGTGGGCAGTGCAGGGGGTTCCCAAAGCCCCAACTCCACACCTGCCGTTTGATCCAAAACGGTTCTTCTGTTCCAGCCAACCTGAGTTCCAGTCCAGGCGGAGCCGATCACTCGCTACGGTGACTGTTAGCGAGCCTCCATATGCTGAGCCTCGGGTTCCTCTTCTGTAAACGGGTCTCCTAATTCCTACCCTGCAGGGTGAGTGGGAGGACCGGGTCTCATATGTGCAAAGCACCCAGCGTCAGGCCTGGCACCTACGCTTCTGTGACGATGGAACACCACCAACTCACAGGCTAGTGCAGCGGTTCTCAACCTGTGGGTCGCGACCCTTTGGGGGTGGAACGACCCTTTCACAGGGGTCGCCTAAGACCATCGGAAAACACATATATAATTACATATTGTTTTTGTGATTGATCACTATGCTTTAATTATGTTCAATTTGTAACAATGAAAATACATCCTGGATATTTACATTACGATTCATAACAGTAGCAAAATTACAGTTATGAAGTAGCAACGAAAATAATTTTATGGTTGGGGGTCACCACAACAGGAGGAACTGGATTAAAGGGTCGCGGCATTAGGAAGGTTGAGAACCACTGGGCTAGTGTGAGCTGCTGGGAGGCAGGGATTCTTTCTCATTCATCAGTGTACCCACACCTACCACATGTAATACACGCTCAATAAAAATGTGCTGATGCACGAAGACATGATATCGCCAAAGCCACTCTGCTAGTCCTAGCTTACCTCTCAGCTTGGGGGCTGGAGGCACTGCGCAGGGATGGTCAGGGCCAGAAGGGAGGGGCTGTGGCTCCTGGGAAGTGCCCTGCACCTGCCAAGGCCGTGACGAGGGGAGGCCATGTCCAGGGAGCCCTGAACGTAATCCTGTTGACTCAAAGGCATAAATAATGCACCAGCGTGTTCTCCTCCTGCCACTCGTTAGGCTAAGAATAGCACCAGCTACCCTTTCAGGGATTCCACGGCGAAGAGAGCAGGACATCCAGTCGGGGACAAGCAGGGAAAGAGGTAGCCAGGCTGTGGACCGCCAAGCACCCTCCCTCCCAGCACATCTTTCCACACCCGTGAGACAGAGGACCCGAGGTCAGAGCTGAAAGGCTCCTGGAGGCTGGTGGTCAGGAGAGCTCAAGGGACGAGGGGGAGGCCTGAGGAGATGGAGCACCCCTCCCCCTTCTTCCACCAGAGCTGTTTGATCTTCCCCTCCCTCCCGGCTCCCGTTCTAAAAAAGCCCAATCCTCTAACCGCTCAGCCACCTCCTCCGCTCCCTCGTCAGGTGGTGAATAAATACAGAGAGGGTGCTCCGTGTTTCATAAGTAAAACTTTGGAGAGAGGGGAAGAGTCTGTAGCTTTTAATGCTATTTTTTTTTCTGTTTAAATGACCGACCTAATGTACACAGTAATTACTCAGGGGTGTTGTTAAATTGCAGATTCCGATTCAGGAGGTCTGGGGTGGGGCCTGACAGTCTGCATTTCTAAGAAGCTTCTGGGTGATGGGATACTGCATCCATGGGCCAAACACTGAGTATAGAAAAACTAGAGTATTTCTCTTTAGAACAGATGGAGAAACTGAGGCCCAGGGAGGAAAAGGGATGTACCAAGAGCGCAGAGCAGGGCTGGGCTCAGAACACAGGCCTCCTGACGCCTCCTAGGGTTTTGTCTTAGGGGGGCTTTGGGGTTGAATGGGGGTGTCTGGAGTGAAATAAGGGACAGCAGCAATTACAGGCGGCAGGAGTCGTCCAGGAACAGGCCTTTATTCAGCCAAAAGCTGAACCTCTGGGTCCACAGGCTCCCCCACGAGTAAAAGGAAATAAGACTACAGCCTCCTGCCCAGGAGCAAACCCACACCACCAGGGATTTGATGGACCAAGCCCTCCTGGGAGGCAGGATGCAGCAGGTGGCCGTTAAAGTGCAAACCAGATCAATGGACCAGATCAATGGAGAGAAGAGCTGGGCCGAGCACTCCGCATTCATTCGCAGTCGTGGGTGAAGGCTGGGGATGCAGAGGGGCCCTCAGCAGCACTATCAGGACGGACGTCAAAGGAAAGAAGAAAAGAAAGGAGGCAAGACCAGCCTCCAGCCTCCCAAACCAGGACAAGGAACAGCTCCTCCTTCCTAGGACGGCCTCAACCCCTTCGCAGGCACCAGGCCTGCTGTAGTAGCCCACTGCCCCCTCCCCCCACCCCCACCCTCCCCGCCGCTCCTCTCAGGGTGCTTCACCCTCCAGCCACACTGGCCCTCCTCCAAGTGCTCAGACAGGGACCAAGTATCTCTCACCCCAGGGCCTTTGCACTGGCTGCTGCTCTTGCCTAGACCCCTTTCTCCCCTCACCCTCTGTTGTCCCTTTCTGGTCTGTTTCCAGGTCTAGGGAGGGCTTGTCTGCCCTCAGAGGTCACATTCCTCTGCCACAGCACCCTCTGCCTCTCCTCCAAACTCCCACCAGAGTGGTAATTCCATCATTATTTGTTTTAGCATCAGTCTGCCTCGTCTGATCCTAAGCAGCCCCCATAGGGCAGGGACCTTGGTCATCATTTCTCTGCTATGCCTCTGCCCCCACGCCATAGCTGGGGCTCAATAAATACTTGTTGACTGAATAAGGGAATAAATGAATAAAAACACTGCTCATATTACCACTGCAAAGCCTTCACCTCTGTGGTTTCAAGTGACCTCGCTTACCCAGGAGAAGTTGTACAGGACCGGGATTTGCAAGATTATCTGGGTACACAGCCCTCTGCCCTGCCACACTGCCGCTGAGCGGCCCGAGGTCACGTGGCCTCTCTGAATGGGTCTCCAGCTCTGCTGGTGGGTCTGTGTGAGAGGCGGAATCGGAGAAAGCTGCTGAAAGCTGTAAAGAGCTTTAACTGGTGGCTTTACTCTGTCCTTGTTTGAGGCTTAGAGAGGGAAAGGGCCTCATTCAAGGCCATACAGCCAGTGTGTGGTGATGCCAGACCCCCCTGGCACAGCTGAAAGCCAACAGCTGAGATTTGGGCCCACCCAGGCTCGGTGAGGGCACCATCTGCCTGGAGGCTGGGCAGGGGTGGAGGAGGCAGAGGAGAGGGTGGCTGGGAGCATTCAGCCTCAGGCCCAGAGCCAGGGTGGGGAGGGTGGGGCCCCAGCGGGAACCCTGAGTGGGACCTGGCAGCTGGGCATGGGGGAGCCAACTGGCACAGGCTGGGTGGTAGCATGCTGGCTCTCCATGCGCGTGACAGTCTATTTTTTAATCAGCACCCTTCCCATCCCCCAACTCCATGTGCCCTCCCAATGGGCCCATAGCAGGAATCTTGGCTGAGACCAGGCCCCCCTTGGTGATGGGTGGTAGGATCCCCAAGTCCCACACCCCATAGTGCCCTTAAGTACTAAGCAGCCAGGGGCAGGACAGAGACGCAGAGAATAAGGGCGCCTCCTGCTTATGACCTTGGGCCTGTCCCTGGACTCTCTGACCTCAGTTTCCCCCATGTGTACAGTGATGGGAGGCAGTCAGACTCCATGGGATCCACTCAAGCTCCACAGCACTAATGACGCCCACTCATCAGGCCCTGGCAGGGCCTCCCCTGCCCACAGCCCTCCCAGGCACACCTGACCCTCCCTGGCCTGCTCTTGAGGGAGGAGAGAAGCCGATCGAGCTCAACGGCCAAGCTCAGGCCCCAGACCCCAGACCCAGTGAGGCTTCTGCTAGGACCTGAGGGACAGAGGTGATGGGGATCGAAGAGGAGTGCTGTGTATTCTTAAGCAGGTAGCTTGGCCCCTCTGAGCCTCTGACACTGTCTAAAGCAGGAGAGACTATGTGGTGCAGTAGTAGCATACGGGCTCTGGGGCCAACTGCCTGGGTTTGAATCTGGCCACTTACCAGCTGTGTGACTTTGGGAGCTCACTTAATCTCTCTGTGCCTCAGTTTCCCGTCTGTGAAAGGCTGATAATAATAGTACTTTACTTCACGTAGTTGTTGGCATGTAAAGAAATTGGAACACCCCTGGCACATAGTCAATTACCATAAACATGAGAGCACTGGCCTTGTCTTTTGACCACTCTTCATCTCTAAGAGATGTTATTCCAGAGGATAAATGCAAGTCTCGGCTCAGCCCGCTCTCCTGCCTGTGGGGCTCATCAGCCTGCCCCTTCGATAGCCCCTCCTGCTGACCCCATGTTTCTGGAATCTGTTGAGCTCTTCCACCCCCACGGCCCCCACATGTCCTTCTTAGCCCATTTCATGGCAGCTCAGAACAGAGGCCTGAGTCTCAGAGGAAGCACAATAACTTGTCCAAGACCGCGAGCCACTTAGCGAAGACGCGAGGTTCAGGCAGCCATTCCTGAAGCGCGGGCCAGGCCCTTTCCACTGGGCTGTGCCCATCCTCCCACCCTCAAAACCTGTTCCTGGCCAAACGCCAAGAAGTAATTTAAACTGAGATATGAGTCCTGAGTGAGTGTCCATCTCCCCAAGGGCTTCCTATTTTAACAGAGATCAAGACATGATAATACTACTATTTAATAAGTAATAGGGTGTGGTTTTTTAGCAGTATTAGCTCGTTTAATTTTCAGAGCAACAGTACAAGGTAAGATCTATGATTGTTTCCATCTTATAGACGAGAAAACAGAAGCCTGGAGAGGTTATATAACATGCTCCAGATCTCCCAGCTACTCGGCAGGGGAACCCAGGGCTCCAGCCACGGCATCTGTGCGTTAGCCTCGTGGGAAGCCGGTAGTACGGGAGCAGATTGAATGTGGTCCATCGGTAGCAGCCCTGGGCCGCAGGCAGGGTAGTGCAGGGTCACCCACTACTATGCAATACTGCCTCACCAAGTGGAAAAGATGAAGCTAGGATGGTGGAATTTCAGGCAGCGGCCAGTTGGTAAAGATTTCATTCTGGAGAGAGAGGGCTTTTGTAAGCCTCTGGAATTACAGGGCCGGGAGGCTGTCCCCACACTGACCCCTCCTCCGGGACAGTTCACAAAGGACTCTGAGCTCACACACACACTGGGCGAACTCAACAGAGCCCAGCCACCCGTCTGACCAGATCACGGGTCCCAGGCTCCTTTGGGTAGGTCTACAGTCCGAAACCCCGAAGCCCCGAGGGATGAAGGCATTTTCACAACCACAGCCGATGCCCCGCCCCCTCATACCTGCAGTTCCTAGCTCCGACCTTTCACCATCCTCAGAAACACTTTCCTCCCAACCAAATCCCTCCCCATTCTTCTAGACCTGAGTTCTGGTCATGAGCCAGCCATGACCACACCTTCAGATAACATTCAGGCCTCTGCTCCAATGCCCCCTCCAGAGAGAGCCCTTCCCTCACCACCAACACAAAGTAGCCCCTCTCCATCTTAGCAGCACGGCCTA